CCGGTGATATCAGCAGGCACCTTTGCCGTGGACCTGTCACCATGGGCGGTGACATTCCTTAGCATTTCAGAGAGAGGGACAGACTGGAGAAGAGGGCATTTTCCAAGGCTGAGGATTGGCAAGGCAGGAACGGCAGAGAATCAAGGGGGATTCTAGGCTGCTGGAAACTACTGGAATTGGCTGGGAGCCAGAACCAGGCAGTGTGAGCAGAGTGGTCAGTGGAGGGAAACAGAGGAGGGGAATAGGCCAGGAGAAGAATCCTGAATGAATAGCGCTGGGGTTCCCAAATGCTGAGGATGCAGAAGGCTCCCTTGGTGGTGGAGGGAGAGGGGGACGAGAGCACCATCAGAGAGGGCACTTCAGAGTGTGAGTTCTTGAACTCTCTCAAACAGCCCCTAATGATGGTGACAGGGAATGTGAGCTGTTCCTTCGTGTTTTGGCACTGTGTCCCACAGGTATCTTGTGAAAACGCCAGCACCATGGCACAGGGAGCACCTGGCAGATCATAGGGCATTAGCATTTTCTGTGAGTGAGTCATTGGTTTTCCATCCAGAACTGCTTCAGGAGATTTGATGAGTTTGGTTAGTTATCGAGGTTCTACCTCATAAGTATGGCCTTAGAGTCAGAGGCCCACGTATCCAGAGGCTAACATGAGACTCTAAGACCTTGAAATGTCAAGGGGTGGAGGGTGCGTTATCTCTAGTAGTCCTTATGTCCCCACAAGGATAGGAGGAGTGGGCGAGAGAAGACCCTCCTCTCCGTCATCTCCAGATAGCATGTAAGGATTAGAAATCTCATCATCATATCTTGGGTGCTTGGAAACACACCTATGTTTGAAAGAATGAGCATAAAATGGAGAACTATCACTTGGGGCAGGGGCAAACTCTGGGGGAAGTGGGGCTAGAGGAAGCTCTGATGGGAGATGGCAAAATACTCAGACCTTGCCAGTTTTCCACTTTTGCAAAGACTGACCCACCATCCAAGACTTATAGGCTGCCTCATGATATGAGAGACTCATTCAAGCACTGAGCTTACACACACATGCACACACACACTCTCACTTGCCACAGCCACCCCAAATGGGGAAAGGCAAAGGGAGGCCCTCTGTTCCCCTTAACCTAGAGGGCAAGGACTAGTGACTCAGTCCTGGCTGGGCACTCCGAAGGGCAGCTCCCTCTCAGCTTCCCCTCTGCTGTGGAGCTACAACTGTCCCTGCCTTTGTTCCCTCAATTCTCGAGCTCCCTGACTCAGCCTCCCCTGAACTTCCCAGCAGGGGACAAAGCCCTTGTCAATGGGGTGGTGTGGGGGCAGTGGCAGTGAGGCCGATCTGGCAGAAAGCTGTAGGGCCCGAGTTCCAGTTCTTTTTCCAGTCTCAACTTTCAGGGTGCCTCAGCCTTGCCAGTTCAGCAGTCACCTCTAGGCTCCTCCCCAACTTGCCCAGATCTCTCTCTGAGGCCAGGCTGATGGGGTGGAAATGGTTAACTAGAACCTTCCTCCCACCCAACTGGGCAAAGTCTGACACCTGGTGGCCAAGGTGAGGAATGGCCAGAAGGCCCCTTTTCAAGTCTTCCCAGAACTGCTCCAGAGCCTGGATGGCCAAAGTGAAAGAGGAGGTGACTACAGAAGGATGTGTGGAGGGTGGTAGGAGCAGGACAGAAGACAGCAGTGACAAAAAAAAAACCCAGAGACTCCTTCCTCTGCCCTCAAGCTGCTGCCATGGAAGCACATTAGGCCAGAGAACCTGGACCAGGAGAAGAGGGAGTGTCTGGGAGGGTAGTGAGGGGCCAGGAATGACTGCCTAAAAGAATTCTGGCCCACAGGGTGAGGAATGGGGCCTACGGGGTGTGAGTATGTTGGGGGCGGGGCCAGGGGTATTCTGGCTGCCCAGAATCTCCTGAGTGGGACTGACTTCCAGCTCAGGGTAGGTGGCAGAGCCCAAGGGCCTGAGGAAGGAGGGTACTGGCGAGAGGGAAGAAGAGCTGGATCCATCCCACAGCCCACTGGGCCCCAGGCAGCTGCTCCCCTCTCTCCACCTGCCTCCACCTTCCCAGCTCTACCTTGCTCTCCCCACAAACCTCATGGTGAGGAGGGGGAAGGGAATGCAGGCACAGTGCTGAGGCCCCCATCCTGCTAAGTCGGACCTAATCCTTCTTCCCTTGAGTGCAGTCAGCGGTGGGCCTCATCCCCTGGGAAGGTGCTGGGTTCCTGTTTCAGTTCTTTTCTCTCCTGGACCCCCAGGACTCTGGACTTGGCCCTGAAGCAAGGGTGTTGGGTATTATTACCAGGCTGAGGTGCAAAGGTCACTCCTACTAGTCTCATCACCAGCCTCTGGGTGTCGGGGCTGACATAAAGGTCTCAGGACATTCCCCCAGGGAGAGAGAACTCAGCACCCAACCCAGACCTCTGGCCTGGCCATCCAGCCTGAAGCCTGAACAGGCTCTAGGACAGCAGTTTAGGGAATGAGGCCAGGATGCTGCCTGAGTAGGGGAAGGGATTCTAGGCAAGAAGGTACAGAAGGTGGACAGGGTTGGAGAGCAAAGAAGGAAAAAGACCTGAGGATGGAAAGGCCAAGGTCCAGCCTAGTCAGCTGTGCACCTTAGGAATCCAGGTGCTGAGTCAGGGAATGCCAGTTGGACAGGGATGGTTCCAAAATCCCTAGGTGCCAACTCTTCCCTGGGGGCCCAACCCCACTGCCATTTAGGAGAGAACAGCAATGCTGCTTGCAGAGAGTTCCCTCAACTCCAAGCCAGAAAGCCAGGCCTAGGGTGCCTGCACTTGAGCTGACCACTCTGAATCTTTTTCTTGGGTCTGGGGGTAGCTGAAGCCTGAGGGAGACATCTTCCAGGCTGGGTGGGTGCCTGAGCCAGGCAAAGCTGGGGAAGCTGGCGGGGACAGCCCAGCCAACATCTACAGAGCAGCTCAGGATGCCAGAGGCTACCCAAGGAGAAAAGGCAATAGTCCCAGGCGGCGGCAGGAGCTGCTGTGGCTGCCCAGCAGCACACCCCATTTCACGCTCCCTGGGCGGTGGCAGGGCCCCACGGCTATCAGCTTTCAGGGGTAGGAGGGACTTGGGAATGAGGAGGGGTCTGCCCCACCCATGGCTCCCTATCCCTCAGGGCTTGGACTCAGGAGGTGGGTGCCACACACCTCTAGAAACAGCCCAGGAACCCTTGCTGAGGCCCTCTGGGGAGGGGGTAATCAATCCCCCAGAGCCTATATGCCATCCCTACCTAGCATACTCAGCGCCTGACTGGACTCAGCACCTAGGCCCTTCCCAGCCCTGGTAGAGAGGGTCTCCCTGCTTCCATCCCCAACTCCGCAAGGACACTGTCTCCCTGAATGTGGGCCCCACTTAGTCCACAAGGCAGATGGGGGGATTAGAATAGGCCCAGCCCAAACAATACAGCAGAAAGGGCCCTCCAGCTCCATGCAGTGCCCTGACAAGCTCCCTCCTCCACCAGCCCTCCTCCAGGACGCCAATGGGGAGAGCCAGGCAGGACGTGGACCCTGAAGACATGGCCTGCTCCTGTACTTCCCCTTTGGTGGTCTCCTCTCCAGAGCAGCTTCCTCCCTTGTGCCCACAAGTACCAGTGGCTTAGCCCTCTTCCAGTGCAGAGCACCCAGACCCCAGAGCAGGGAAAGGAGGAGGCAGAGGCTTCTGAGCAGGCGGCAGCCCAGGAGTCTGTGCCCCACCCTCCCAGTATCCCTGGAAGGAAGAACCGGATGGGATCTCTGGAGGGTGATTAGAGCTGGGCTGGTCCCTGTGCTGGTTCCCAGACTCCCACTGGCCAGTACTTTTGCCTCCTGCCAGGAAGTTGATGAGGGGGAGGCAGCAGTATGGATGAGTCAGTGATGACAGGAGCCCAAGGGACAAAGGCCATGGGTGGAGAATTGAGAGACATTGTTTACAGCAGTCCACCTCCTCCAGGAGGCCTTCCAATGCTAATCATCCCTGTGGTCCTAACCAATCTCTGACCCACCCTTTTCCTCTTCTGGTAGGAATTATAGCCTCTCACTGACAACTGTACATCTGTCTGCCTTGTGACAGTGAGCTCCTGGGCTCAAGACAGACTGTGGTTCGACTGGGGCCCTGCAATGCCTGTGACTCTCGGCAGTGATAATCATTGAGCTATACTTCCTACTTTCAAAAACTTTTTGACATCTCTTTTAATTAATATGTGGGAAAGTGCTTAGAACAGTACTTGGCACATGGTATGTGCAACATGAGTGTTAGGTTTACTGTTAATATTTTCTGCTCAGATTAACATTATTGTGAGAGGGCAGATTTTGCCAACGAAGAACTGGGGACCAAAACCCATTGTGGTGGGGGAACCAGACCCTTGCTCTGCCTTCCAGTATGGAATCTTCCTGACTGGTGGGGCGGGCGGGGCAGGACTTGGGACCCCAGGAGAGCCAAAACGGCAAACACTTACTCGGACTGAGTGGGCAGCATCTTTGGGCACAGACTGTGAGAAAGGAGGTTTCAGAACCCATGGGCTTCTCCAGCCAGGTCTCCTGGGGCCGGTGGGGGTTGGGTGGGAGCAGGGAAGGGGCCTGGATTAGACCAAACTCTCTTCAGACCTCCAAACCTGCCCCCACAACGCTGGGCGGGCCAAAGGACCGAGTGAAGGCTCCAGCTGGGCTCTAGGGAGTTACAAACTGGCCACGGGGATTAGCGAAGCTGAAAAGAACATTTGCCTAGGAAGGGAAAACGGGAAGTGAGAGGCTGAGGATAACTCTCTTCAAGTCTCTCGGGACCCACAGCAGACCAATGGGGGCCGGGGGAGGTGGTGAAGTAGGGGCATCCTGACAGGTCCCCCACCCCAGCCTGCCCCTCCTCCCGCAGCCCACAGCTGTGGCACCGCCCCACCCCTCACCCTACACTACCTACCATTGGCTAGCGTCAGGGCCCCGCCCCACAGAGGCGGCCTGCCATTGGCTGAAGTCTTTCCTGTTTGCGTGCTTGTTGGGGTGGGGGAGGCGTCCCTCCCTGGACCCCAGCGACTTCCTCTCTCGGTTTGTCTGGGTCATCTTGTCTGCCTGCCGCTGGCCTGGCCCCGTCTGTCTCTCTCAGCAGCTGTCTTTCTCGCGCCCACTGGCCGGTCTCTCCTCTTCCCCGCAGTCGCCTCCTTCCTCTGCCTGCCTGGGTGGCCGCCATGGGCCGGAAGCAGCTCATCACTGATTCCTACCCGGTTGTGAAGAGGAGGGAGGGGCCCGCTGGGCACAGCAAGGGGGAGCTGGCACCCGAGCTAGGTCTCTGAGGTGTGAGGGAGGCAGGAGGAGTGGACACGGAGGGGCCTAGAGGACGTGGGCAGAGGGGCAGATGGAAGGGGAAAGGTGGCCTGTCCTCCCCTCCCGACACTAGGTCTAGCTGCGGGGTGGCAGAGGCAAAGGGGTGGTGAGGAAGGCTGGGAGGTAAGGGGCAGGAGACTGAGGCCAGCATCGCACTGAAGAGCAGCTGTCATTGCAGGGGAGGAGCCCCAGCCCCGCGACGAGGAGGAAGCGGAGCTGGAGCTGCTGAGGCAGTTTGACCTGGCCTGGCAGTACGGGCCCTGCACCGGTGAGAACCCACCCAGCCCCACGGAGGTGCCTCTCCCAGCCAGTCCCGTCACCCACACGTCTCTGAAGTCACCCAAGCGCTTGCGTGACTCTGACCCTCAGGCACTGTCTCCCCTGAACACACACATTCTCCAGCTCAGACTCTACCCCACCCCTAACAAGGCTCCAGAGTCTTCTTCCTACCCTGGCAGGGATCACACGGCTGCAGCGCTGGTGTCGGGCCAAGCAGATGGGCTTGGAGCCTCCCCCAGAGGTGTGGGAGGTGCTGAAGACCCACCCCGGAGACCCCCGCTTCCAGTGCAGGTCAGAGACAGGCCGGGAGGGCTTTCAGGGGAGCCAGGGCCTTCTCCAGGCACCGTCACCCTGCTGTCCTGACCTGAGGGAGAAATGGATGGAGGGTTGAAGGGCCTTGCTGAACAGGCAAGAAGGAGGACACGCAACTGTAATAATTCTTTTTTTTTTTTTTTTGACACGGAGTCTCGCTCTGTCGCCCAGGCTGGAGTGTAGTGGCGCGATCTTGGCTCACTGCAAGCTTCGCCTCCTGGGTTCACGCCATTCTCCTGCCTCAGCCTCCTGAGTAGCTGGGACTAGAGGCGCCCGCCACCACGCCCGGCTAATTTTGTTTTTGTATTTTTAGTAGAGATGGGGTTTCACTGTGTTAGCCAGGATGGTCTTGATCTCCTGACCTCGTGATCCACCCGCCTCGACCTCCCAAGGTGCTGGGATTACAGGCGTGAGCCACCACACCCGGCCAATAATTCTTACCTCCACAAGCTAGTCGGGGGCAAAGGTACACCCAGGAACCAAGGAACTATCTATTTAGAACCAAGGGGTTTCCCAAGGACTATGGGCATGGCCAAGAATAGCTGGTGAAATCAGATCCAGGGACTCAACAACTGACCCTTTCTCTCTCTCTCTCTCTCTCTCTCTGGGATATCCCTCCGTCCCACCCCAATCTTCTACAGCCTCTGGCATCTCTATCCCCTATGAGGCACCACGTATGACCTCCTGCCCTTGGCTGTCTTGCTTATCACCCAAGAATCTCAGGACAGAAGCAAGAGTCCATTGCTCCTGCTCAGCTCAGCCCCGCTGCGGAGGAACCCTTGGCAGGCAGAACCTGGAGGTGTCAGAGGCTCAACTCCTCCATCTAACCAGCAGGCTCCCAGAGCCCCCCTGGAAGAGCCTGTGCAGCTGAAGCAGAGTGCTTCTAGATGGAGAGTGGTCACTAGGGAAAAGGACCTGGCCATCACCTTCCAGTACCTGCTGCCTGTCTCCCTGACCCATGGTGTGGCAAGTTAGGCACAGCCAGACGTGGACAGTTGATCCATGAGGCAAAGATGCTGTCCCACCTATGGCTAGGAATCAGAGCAGGACTGGCTGAGCTCCCAGGGCAAGGGGTTCACTAATGCTTACCAATAAAGAATATTAAGCCTGGAATCCTGACCTTCAGTCCTTTACTGTGGCCCTGCTTTGACTGGCAGTCCCTAGCAAGTTAGGAGATGGGAGAACCACCACCACAGTTCTTTTCCTTCAAGAAAGTCCTAGGCCTGAGAGGGAGAAGACATAGACAGCTTAAGAGACAGATCAAGTCCTCTAAGAGCTGAGCGACCTCTGGTGCCCCCTGGTGGCCCACAGGGAAACTACTCACGACTCACCTTCCTGGAGCAGCCAGGGAAAACCTACCTGATCCTCCAGCCACCTGGCTTGCTAAGCAGTGCCCAGATCACAAACATGGGTGCTTTGCCAGAGAAGGACCTTTGGGGTCCATGGCGCATGAAGTCCAAACATATCTATACATTCCCAGCAAGCACCTCTGGCTTCCCACATCAGGGACCACCTTGATCAAAGCAGGGCTGGGGAGGGTCTCAACTTGCAAGATCTGCTCAGACATGGCCATCATCTGAGGGGCTTTGGTAAGAAATTGATGGCTGGGCGTGGTGGCTCACGCCTGTAATTCCAGCACTTTGGGAGGCCCAGGTGGGTGGATCACGAGGTCAAGAGATGGAGACCATCATGGCTAACAAGGTGAAACCCCGTCTCTACTAAAAATACAAAAAATTAGCCGGGTGTGGTGACAAGCGCCTGTAGTTCCAGCTACTCAGAAGGCTGAGGCAGGAGAATGGTGTGAACCCGGGAGGCAGAGCTGGCAGTGAGCTGATACCGTGCCACTGCACTCCAGCCTGGGTGACAGAGCGAGACTCCGTCTCAAAAAAAAAAAAAAAAAAAAAAAAACTGGGCGAAGTGGCTCACGCCTGTAATCCCAGCACTTTGGGAGGCCAAGGCGGATGGGTCACCAAGTCAAGAGATCGAGACTATCCTGGCTAACACGGTGAAACCCCATCTCTACTAAAAATACAAAAAATTAGCCGGGCATGGTGGCGGGCGCCTGTAGTCCCAGCTACTTGGGAGGCTGAGGCAGAAGAATGGCATGAACCCAGGAAGCGGAGCTTGCAGTGAGCCGAGATCACACCACTGCACTCCAGCCTGGGCGACTGAGCAAGACTCTGTCTCAAAAAAAAAGAAAAAAGAAACTGACGGTGCTGGGGGATGGAGAACTGGCTGGAGCCAGAAACAATGCTCAGGAGACCTGGGGTCAGGGTATGACATGGAGAATAGAGTCAGTAACTGCTTCTGTAGCATTGCCTTCATCTACTGTAGCAGCCCTCCATCCTGGGGGCAGATGGAGGCAGCACTAGTAACTTCTTGGAAACAGGCCTAGAGAGCAGCTAAGTGGCCTGTGTAGCCCCTGTCTTACTGAGCACTGATCATGTTTCGGGTACTTTAAATGTATCATCTCGAATCCTCCTAAAAAACCTTCCAGGTAAGTTTTACTGAGAGGGGAACTGAAACTAAGAAAGGTTAAGTAAAGTTGTCCAAAAGCACACAGCAGGCAAGAGGCAGTGCAGTGACCAGGGGCCACTTGCATTAAGCTCTTCCAGCCTATGCCACAGCTCCCACCCAGCTGCTGAGCACTCACTATGTGCCAGGCACCAAAGGTCCCCTTGGGGTGTTACTAATGGTCAGGAGATGGACAAAAACAAACACGTAAGTTAATTATGTCAGGTAGCAGTCAGTAGTAAGCAAACTCAGAGTTGAGATCAGAAAGGGTCCAAGGATGCCAGGGCGCTATGTTAGAGAGACTGGTCAGGGAAGGCCCTCTGCTAAGGTGGCATTTGAGCAGAGACCTGAAGAAAGGAAGGGAGCAAGGTCTGCACCTGAGTGTTCCAGACAGAAGGAGCAACGAGGAGAAGTTCCCTGAGGGAGGAGTGTTTCCAACCTGTTCCAGGAAAGGCACTGAGGAGGCCAGTGAGGCTGGGGGCCAGGGAGCAAGGAAGGGTAGTGGGAATTGAGAGCAGACAGGCAACAGGCTGGTCCCTAGGGCCATGATACGAAATCTGGATTTGATTCTGAGTGAGAGGGGAAGATACTGGAGGGCTTGAGGTCAATAAATGACAGAGTCAGCTGATGTTTTGAAAACACTACTCTGTTGGTGGAAAACAAGATTGTGGAGCTGGGGAAAACAGAGGTAGCAAAACCACTCAGGAGGCCTCTGAAGTTGGCCTCATGAGAGTTGAGCTTGATCTGGACCAGCATGAGGAGGTGAAGTGGCCAGGTACACTCTGTATTTTGAAGGAAGAGCTGACTGGCAGGACTTGCCTATAGGACTGTGGGATTTAAAAGGCAGGAGCCAAGGATAACGCCAAAGGTTTTGGTTTGGGTGACTGGAAGGACAGAGTTCTCATTACTAAGATGGGAAAACTTGTGGGAAGGGTGGGGTGGGAATCTGGAGCTCCATCTTAGACATGCTGAAGTATCTGTGCCACTTCCAAGGGGACACGGGGTATAGGCAGTGGATATGTAAGTCTCGGATTCTGAGGCATTCTAGGTTTAAAATATAAACTTGGGAATCTTTTAGATGGCCTTGAAAGCCGCAACAGTGGATGAGATCCCCGGAGTGAGTGTAGAGAGAGAAGTAGTCTGAGAGATCCAGTAGAGAGAGAACCTGAGGTTACAGGAGATGAGAAGGCAGTTGTGTGAGTGAGATCTTTGTGAGGGTGAGGAGGGCCAGGAACCAGGATACGCAAAGAGGGTGGCCTTCTGTAGACACATGCACTGTGACAGGAAGGGAGACAGAGAACATGAAAGGAGTCTCAGGTAGGGGGATATATTTGGGGATGGGAATATTCAAGAATCAGATATTTACTAAGAGCCTGGCGCTGCTGGGAGGGCTCTGATGTTTACTAAGTGCCTATCCATGCCATCTGCTATGTGAAATGCTGCACACATGTTATCTAGTTGAATCCTGAGAACAATCTCATTAGGGAAGTACTATCCATGTTTTACAGATAAGGAAACCAAGGCTGAGAGGAAAAGTGCCTTGCTCAATCAGTAAACACCAGGGCCTGAATTCACCCCACACCTGCACTCCAGATGTTGGAGGATAAGAATGTTGTTGAGGAGATAAGGACTACATATGTGGCAAGTTAGAAAACCATGTAATACAAGTACTTTCCTGAGGCAACATAGGAGTGGTATAGAGACTGAATTGTCTGAGTTCTCAGAAAGGAAAGAGCACCACAGGTGACAGGGACCCGCTGCAGGAGCCTCGAGCATAGGGATTGCCACTTCCCTCCCGCTGCATTGTATTCCCCTTGCCGCACCTCATCTGCACCTAGCCCCTTCTAATCAGGGGTCCCTGTTTCTCACCTTCCCACCTTCCCACCTTCCACCGCAGGGCGAATGCAGACTTCCCACTGCAGGGGACAGCACCACACGGAATGTTTTTAGTCATTTCTTTCACCAATTTGCATTCTACTCCGTATGTCTGGAGTAGCTGTACTTCTTTTTTGACACAGAGTCTCACTCTGTCACTCAGGCTGAAGTGTAGTGGGATGATCTTGGCTCACTGCAACCTCTGCCTCCAGGGTTCAAGCAATTCTCGTGCCTCAGCCTCCCAAGTAGCTGGGATTAGAGGTACCCACCACCATGCCTGGCTAATTTTTGTATTTTTGGTAGAGATGGGGTTTCATCACATTGGTCAGGCTGGTCTTGAACTCCTGACCTTAAGTGATTCACTCGCCTCAGCCTCCCAAAATGCTGGGATTACAGGCGTGAAACACTGTGCCCAGCCTGGAGTAGCTAAAAGTAGGTGAAATTATTTATAATTAAATAAAATGAAGTCTCCAGGAAGATGTGCCACGTGTGGCCTATGGCTGCTTTCAAGTACCCCGATACATCTACCACCACCTCACTCAGTTTGAACGGCACGTCAGAAATACTAAAAAGCATATATATATAATATTTTATATATGTAAAAATATATATAATATATAACATATTATATATTATATATATTTATATATATATATATATACACACACACACATATATATATAATTTTTGAGAAAGGGTCTTGCTCTGTTGCCCAAGCTGGAGCACAGTGGTGCAATCATGGCTCACTGCAGCCTCAAACTCCCAGGCTCAAGCTATCCTCCTGCCTTGGTCTCCCAAGTAGCTGGGACTACAGGCACGTGTCATACACTGAGATAGTCCTGTTATGTTGCCCAGGCTGGTCTCACACTCCTGAGGCCAAACAATCCTCCTGCCTTGGCCTGCTAAAGTACTGGGCTTACAGGAGTGAACTGCCACACCCAGCCAGAGAATAGTGTTCTAGACTAAGGGAATGAGCTAAACAAAGGCAAGCAGGAGGGAATCATGTGTGTGCCACAGGCTAGATGTGCAGAGCTGTGAAGTATATACCACAGAGGTTTCCACATAAACTCATACAAAACTAGCATTTGGCTGGGAGCGATGGTTCACGCCTGTAATCCCAGCACTTTGGGAGGCCAAGGTGGGCAGATCATCTGAGGTTGGGTGTTTTGAGATCAGCCTGACCAACATGGTGAAACCCTGTCTCTATTAAAAATGCAAAATTAGCTAGGCATAGAGGTGCATGCCTGTAATCCCAGCTACTCAGGAGGCTGAGGCAGGAGAATCGCTTGAACCCAGGAGGTGGAGGTTGCAGTGATGCAGTAAGCCAAGATCACGCCACTGTACTCCAGCCTGGGCAACAAGAGTGACGCTCCATCTCAAAAAAAATAAAAAAATAAAAAAATAAAGGACAAAGAACTATAAGAGATGTTGCAAAGGAAATTTGCAAAACTTGCATTTGGGAAGGGAAGAATGGGGAGGACGCGTCAAATATGACTCAGGTTTTGAGCTTGGGTGGGTGAGAGAATACTGATGCCATGGGAAGAGAAATGGAAACTGGGAGGGGGAAGACAGGCTCAATTTTATACATGCTTGGTTTCAGATGACTACAGGACACCCAAATGGAAACACCTGGTAGGAAATGGAAACAGAGCTCAAGTCCAGCAGAGAGATCATGGGAGGGGCGGTATCTGGGGGACAAGGAAATTACCTGCATAGAACTGACC